CATCCTTCTGATAACACAAAAACAAATGACACAGCAAAATATATACACAGATTTTAGGAACCTGTCACTGAGAAGTAATATGTGGCAGTTTTCAGACATGTAATTTAAGAGCCTTCAATCATCACAAGTTCTATTTTAAGAAAAGCTAAAACATTACCACTGATAAGCACAATCGATCAATCTTTAGTCGAATTCAAGTGTTTGATTCACCAGCACCTGCTAGGGTCAAAATGGTCAGCCACTGCAAAGCAAACTTTCCGCCACTAAGCTATTAAAAGGACACATGAAATCCAAATTTCAGTTATGGAATTGTCCTATAAGACTCTCCCCCCAACCCTCCACAGTTCAATTTAAATTTTTATTTCTATGTCTCACTGCAGTGTTTCAAAGACCTCAGCACATGCTTCAGTCAACTCCATTTGCTTCTAGAAAACACTCAGGTTTTCAATTAGCATTGTCAGAAAGTGAAGCACCCTCTGGTCTTTTCGCTGAAAATCAATTATGGAAAAAACAGTTTAGGTGGTCTAATTTAGCTGTGCCATATGCATAGTACAAGGTGTTCAGCAGCTCTGATAAAGAATTGGCAATGATTCAGCCAGCTGTCCAGGGTCTTGGGTGTTACACGTGAAAGATGAATATCTCATTCATTAAATTTTCCTTAGTTTGTACATATCACCATTTCCCCCTTGTATAATTATGAACGTTTCTCCTGTCCTTTCCAATTGGGCAAGTTCACAATCTCTGCCACATCCTTTTTACGTAAGTCTTCAATATTCTTCTAATTGCCACTTCACTAAAATAAAGGCCCTGTAGGACTGTATTTTATGTTAGCTGGCATATTTTTATTTGGCATTTTCTGAATATAGACCTGTCTTCCTGATTGAGGTGTGCAAGACCTGACTTTCCCCAGTGCTGCCCTATCTTCAGAAAGCTGTGCTTCTCCACCTACTTTCCCCAAGACTGTCTTGCTTTCAAATGGTGTAAAATTGAATTTTCCTGACTGTGATCATATCGCACAAATACAATTACTACTTCAAGCCAGGGCACACACATGTAAAACTGATGTTTAATCAAGACAAATTTGTGTTATAAGACACGATGCATTCTGATTTTATATTCTGCTCTTCATTTTTTAAAAAAGAAATGCTGGTCAATCCACTAAACTGACTTTATAACACACTAATGGGTCATAACCAAGCTAGGGGAAAATATCAGTGGTGTAAACGCTTCAGAATCTGTGTAAACAATCTGAAATGTGGTCTTAACCTTTCAGTAACTAACTGGTGGAGCCTTTGGAAATCATTCCACCTTGGAGCTTCAGTCCCTCAATCACGATACAGGGGAGTTGAAATGGGTCATGGAAAGGTCTAGTACACAGTTAACTTACTGCTCCCCTTACCACTTCATACCAATCTGATTTCTCCTCCTGATACCCTGGTGCCTCTCAGGCTGGCGACGCTGGGACAGTGATCCTGAAACCATCCTTCTTACAGGCTGGCATATCATGCAGTCACACGGTCCAGGTATGTATCAACACTTCAATCCTTGGACCTTCGTATTTGCTCCCGACACTCACAGATTCCCCCTTTACTTTCTCACCTACGGTCTTCTGGAAAGTGAAGGCTGTCAAATTAGCAGGAAGATCACTGAAGATTCCGTAGAGCAGAATGAGAAGTTTACTATGGGATCAAAACAACTGGATGGATTAAAGAATTAAGGTTCTGGAACCAAAATCTAGTTTTCTGAGACACTGATTTCTAACAGCCCTGTGCTAAGATTAAAGCAAAATCAAACAATTCAAATTCAACTGGGATGAATATCTGAAGACATGAGACCATTATTTTCTTTCAAAGCTTTTCATCAAAATGAAAAGCAGAACACACCATCCTTCTTACAAAGTTTTGTTTTTTGTTTTTTGTAAACAGAAGATGCTTATAGATCAAATAATTGTTTGGGGAAAAGATCTAAGAAACCTGATTGATCGTTCATTAACTAATCAACCATCATCAAGCAAATACTGATTCTATGAGTCACTGTTTTCCTTCTACACATAACTCTTGAGCCAAGAATTGTCCAGGTTAATAAAATGTGAACAGTTATAGTCCAAAGTTTTATTAGAATAAAATGGACCTATAGGAAAGAACTTCTTAAAATATTCAAGAATTAATCTAAGTTTGTGAATTTCTTTCCTGAAGATAAGACATCTTAGTGGGAAATACTATTCTAAATAATCAAATATCAATTTTGTTTAGCCCCCAAGGATGAAATCATGATAAAAATGCATGAAAAATTATAAGCAATATGTTAACAGTAAGCCGATCCTTACTACTATTACTTTAACAATGATGCGATTGTCACAGGGAGACAAAGATGTCCAAGATATGTTCAGTGAAAGGTAAGTAAAAAAATTGATGTGTATATATTTGCATATTGATTGGTATAATCATGTTTTGATCTTGAACGATCTACAGAATGTTAACAGGGGTAAACTCAATCATGGCAGTGAACTGAACAAGAGGGGAGACTCCTGTGACTTGACACTCACTTCTGTGTTGGGTTGTGTTGTTTTGTGTGTTTTTTTTATAGTGAAAATGTAAAACTATTTTTAGATATTTTAAAAATATTCAGTTACTTCTTATCCACTACAGTTGTTTCTTAACAGGGGAAATAAAAATACGTTGCTTCCCTGCAAACATCTAGGGAATCCAGTGAAAAGCACCTTATCTGTGACACTACAGGACAGGTACTTAAACAGTTTGCAGTGATGAAGGAAAATCAGAGCTTTGCAAGCATTTACAAGCGGGTTAAACTTTGAAAATCAGACCCTGTTTATTTATCAACAGGCCAAAATACTGCAATACAAAAATACCGTAGTGTACAAAACGCCATGAAAGGTTTCTGTAAATCAGGCGACCTTAAAATTTTTTAAGTTACATCCCACCTGAGAGTAATGATCCCTCTGTTTTTCCACATGAGATTCTAATCCTAGGTTTGTTTTGAGAAAGATACTCCATAAAACAGTATGCCACTTGTCTGAAGAAACATTTGTAAAGTGTCAAGGCACTGATTTATGTAGTCACCTAACTACTCGATGAGTGAAATCAGTAGAACCTGCTAGAATTAATTTACATTCACTGGGCTAACAGTAATCCTACTAAGGAGGTCCTTGTTTTTCAAAGTCATTTCAATACTATTTTGAAGAACAGAAAACTACAAAAGGAAAGCCTACATACCAAAATTCTAGCAATAGTTAGACAACAGTAAGTATATCATAACACATTTTAAAATGCTAATATTTTTAACGCATAGGATCAAAAACACAAACAAGTTCTCCTTTACTATTTAAGTACGTTATCTCTAGGAAAGGCCAAGTGGGGACTAAATCAACGTAAAATAATCTGAAAGTGGCCTAAGGGCTTATAGTTATCATAGAACCTAAGAACAACCAGCATGAGAGCATCTTCTAGTACCATATTCAGGTTGAAACTGAGTTTACAATACAGCCTGGGCTTCACAAAAATAAAGGTGTAACTTCTAAAGAATGGCTTAACTCTCCCCAAAGTGGTAAGCGGTTTTGATTTTTACAACTTGAGCTACCAGCACAGCTGCGGACAAGTAGGAAGGAGGAGGAGGGGAGGAGGAGTTCGCTTTGGAAGGGTACTGAGGAGGAGGGGGAGTTTGCTTTGCTGTAGCTCCCGTACATTTTGATTCTCCCAATCAAATCAATTGGTTACTAAACTTTTGCAGTCTGAGTTCTAAGAGTCTAAAGGAGCACTACAGTTCTCAATAGGAAACCAGGAAGGTTCTCCATTTCTCATTCCTGCTGTGTGTTCATGCAACAGGAACACAGAGAGTGAGGAAAATCCAGCTGACCCAAAACAGGAAGGGTCCTAAGTAAAACGACCCTAGATAAAAGGACTACAACCATTCCATGCCACATAGCTCTGCAGAGGTGAATGCTGTTGGTTTTCCCTGCAGGGACCAAGTTCCACCTCATCTGGGGCTTCTGCTCATCTTACCATATCCCACTACCTCTAGTGACGGAGGAAAGCATATGAGCCAACTAAAAGAAATCAGTCATGAAAGGACTTACTCCACGAGTAAGCAGCATGAAAAGGGAACTAGACCTCCCCAAAGTGAATCACGGTTGGAACACAGAAAGGGCGAACCAGATTTCAAATGAAAAGATGCTACCAGCCACAAGTTTTCTGATAACCAACTTACGGCTTCTAAAAAAATTTTTTTAAAAGTTTCTCTAATCTCACTTTTATTCAATCAACAGTTTGATTTAAAAAAAAAAAATTAAAGACAGATCCTTGGTTTCTAAGTAACAGTGTTTTCAAGCTGCTCACTCCATTCCCCGAAAAGCCCTCATTTTTTGACATCATTACTGATAGGAAAGCCGGTGGTGACGAAACATTTCAAAAACCAAGTCAGTCTTTGAAATGAGAAGCTATCAATGAAAATGCAGCAAAAGAGGACATGCGACTGCACAAGTCAAACTGCAAGAACGAATCTCTAAGGAGAGATCCATCACCAGGCGGCTTGGGATGCCACGGAAAGGGACGATACGCAAAGCCTGTCCAGCGTTCGCTGGGGAGAAAAGACAGGGAACGGTCGCAAACTGAGGCCAAACCCTGCCCATCCCCCGTTACTCCCAAAAATGACTGGGAGAAAAACGCAGGACTGGGTAGCAAAAAGACGGCATAGATTTTTCAGTTAATGCGAAAAAGGAGCTTGGCACCGAATACTCAGCAGAAAGCAGAATACAGCGAGATGGAGGGGACCAATCCATCCCCAGCTGGGTCAGCCTGAGCTATGAGAAACAGGTTTCCGCCCTCATGAAAAGCCTCAGCTCGTCGCCGAGTTGGGCACCTGCCAGGCCACCACGTCCGGGGGCAATGGCGAGGTCCCCCTCTTCCTCCCAGCCCACGCCCTCCCCGCCGTCCCGGGGCCTCGGAGGCCAGGGTTCCGGGGGAGGGAGCGGAGCTCGGCAATACCAGGTGTAGTCGTCCTCGTCCCGCCAAGCGGCCACGCTCTCCAGGTCCAGCGGCTCCACCTCGTCCAGCAGCGTCGGGGGCGGCGAGGGAGGCGAGGGAGGCGAGGGCGGCGCGGTGGCTCCCCCCGGCGGCGTCCCCGCGCCCCCCGGCTCCGGCCCGCCACCGCCCGCGCCGAAGAAGCCCGCCGCCGGCTTGAAGTAGACGAAGGGTGCCTCCGGGGGCTGCGCCAGGCTGCAGAGCAGGGAGGGCGCCGGGCTGGGCAGGCAGTAGGTCCCCGGGAACGCGGGGCTGGAGCCGCCGCTGCCGCCGCCGCCGCCCCCGGCACCCAACGCCAGCCCCAGCCCCAGGCCCCCCGAGGCGGCGACGGCCGGGGGG